ATGGACAGACAGCCTCCGAGACACCCTCACAGTGGACTTGTGCCACCTACAGATCTTGTCAGACCATGCTTCATAGAGCCGTTTGGCGAGGGGCCAGTAGGACACCACGTGACCTTACACCTACAGCTCGACTTCTTGATGCTATTATGAGGAGGACTCTACTTCTGAGGATGGGCTACCGTGAGGGCCTAACTTGAATTCAGCTGTGGCTAGTGGATTACCTGGTGTCTTAGACTGTCTTTGATATTTGGGATGTGATGCTCTCAGAGATGGAGGACACACTAACAGAGGGCTTCAGAGGTCACTGTCAGCTGCCTTATGCTCATTGGATCACTTTCTTACTCCAAAAGGCAGTTTCAGACAAGTCCCCAGAGACAATGGCAGAGTGGACAGGTGCTACTACTGAGTTTCCACAGTATGACATGAGCTGCTACGTCATAGTCGTGCGAGGACACCTCGCCAGCCGAGTCATCGCCTAGAGGTACCAGAGACAGTAGCTTAGTAGGATGAGATCATCAGGGGTATCACAGAGACATAGGAGGAGGAGCTTGATGCACAGCAGGAAGATGAGGTCGAGATCGACCCGAGTGATAGCTCAGACGATGACTATCAGCCGATTCCGCAGATAGCACCTCGTCCACATGACAGAGAGGCTAGTGGCCCTAGCTCAGCTCCACCACAGCCACCACAGACAGACCCAACACTTCTAGCTTTACTTGAGCGGATGAGGCAGGACCAAGCACACCAGGCATAGGAGACCATAGCTGCACTTGCTTAGGTTCAGGCATGATAGGATGAGTTTCAATGGTAGCAACAGGCCATGCAGTAATAGCTAATGATTCAGTAGCAGTTACTTGGCTTCATGCAGCATGTATTCGCTGTTATCGAGGTTGATCCTCAGCAGCCTACATTTCAGATAGGCTAGCCTGCCACCACCACTCCAGTGACTCCAGCTGTACAACCCAGTGGGCTTCTAAGTCAGAGACAGCTAGCTCCTTAGTTTTCCTCACCTACAGAGCAGGTGTGTCAGTGGTTTGCTTCACCAGGGACAGCTCAGGGTTCGCACTTTACTCCTATTGTTACGGGCTTCACTCTGACTCAAACTTCTTTGGCGTTAGTGACGGACACCCTAGTCTCTAGGAGTCTTGGCGCTACCTTTAGTGAGCTTACAGGGTAGCCTACACCTCTAGTGTTCTGAGTCTCTGGTCCTACCATAGCTGCTCCAGTTATTGGGACTACCGAGATGATTCTGTCGTCTTTTGCATCATCCGAGCCTCCTCTAACAGTCACTCCTACACTTGAGGCTTCAGCGATAGCGACAATGGCAGATGTGGCTCCCCTTCCTACAGTGACACCTGCAAAGTTACAGGCCATGCCAGTTACTGACCAGACCCAGACCGCTTTACCTTCACTTCCAGCTATAGAGGGTCAGACCCCTCAGAGTTCAGGGTCAGAGGATGATGCAGCTCAGTTCCAGGTCTCTCACCGCACCTCAGCGCCCGACTCGACTGCTCCTGTCCTGTCGTCCGACCTTTAGGTTTTGGTGCTGGACGCCAAAAGGGGGAGAGGGACCGAGTATGTTAGGGACCGAGTATGTTAGATTTAGGGGGAGTGTGTGAGATGGACTCGATTCTTTTGGTCTTTCGTGTGTGATACTTCGTGCATTCACGTTTACTTTCATGCATTGTATTATATACATGTGATGGTGAGACTTATGTGACATGTGTGCTCTCTACATTGTTTTATATATGTTATGTCACTTGGTTATGCTCATTGGCTTTGCTTCCATGTTTTACTCTGATTCAGATGAGCTTTACTTCATGTACTCATACTTAATTCATATCTTTTGAGTACACCATGTTGGCTTGGGTTATATAAGCATGCCTAATCCTTTTGTTCTTATTATTAAAAGCTTATATGGACCAAGCATGTTGAAAACCTCACTCATCTCTTTTATATACTCGAGGTTGTGTTGTCATCAATCACCAAAAAGGGGGAGATTGAAAGCATCTAGGCTCCCAGTTGGGTTTCGGTGATTAATGATAACACGAGATTACTATGACTAACGTGTGTTTTGCAGAGGCAATTTGAGTTATGTCATGGTAATAGAAATTGATTGGGCAATCATGGTTGCCATGCCCCTGTCGATAAAAATCGTTTTGGTTTTCAAAGGATGGACGACAAGGTTAAGGATGGACTAGTTCTAAGTGTCGTTTGGTGTTGGAGAGACACTTAGAGTAGTTTAGGACTTTGTTTTTCCTTTGGCCATACTATTAAGAGGGGTATGGACTAGTAGCTTAACCTAGGAGAGTCTAATAGATTAGGTGTGGTGCACACTTGTCAAACTTAGCACTAGGTAGCTCAGGAATAGCCCTAAGATCGATAGAAGTCAACTTCATTCACAAAGAATTTCTAATTGGAAGTAAATGGAGAGTCAAATGACTGAACGGACGCTGGTTTGGTTATGACCGGACACGGCTTGGAGAGTCCGGTCAGTTCATTTGATCAGCAACAACAGTTAGAGTGCGACTGAACGCTGGACACCAGTCCTCACTGGACGCGACGCTAGCCGTATCTATAGCAGCGTGGACAGGTTGTTGACCACGGACCAGACGTTGAACAGAGAAATGACCGGACTCTGGGTGCCAGCGTCCGGTCAACAACAGTAAGGTTCTAGAGAGGGTTTTTGATGACCGGACGCATCCGGTGGGTGCTGACCAAACGCAAGCCAGAGTCCGATCAGAGCAAACGGCTCTTTCTGAGATGCTGACGTATTACACTGACTGGTGCGTCCGGTCACCTTGACCAGAGCGTCCGATCATCCTGATACTTGCTGAGTTGGACCTCAACCGTTATATTTTGAATGGGGGGTATAAATACATATCTCACTCGTCCATTTGAGGTCTCTTATCCATTTGTTCAGCTGAGAAACACCTTTGGAGTGCAAGGGAGAGCAAGAGCCTAGTGGGGCGATTGATATTTAATAATCCAAGATTAAGGACCTCATTAGTGCATAGGGAGTAGCAAGTGTGCATCCACCTTACTCATTAGGCTTGTCTTGGTCAAGTGAGAGTTTGTGCTTGTTACTCTTGGTGATCGCCATCACCTAGACGGTTCGGTGGTGATTGGGAGCTTGGTGATCATCCGACAGAGCTTGTGGATGACCCAAGTTACTTTGTGAGCGGTTGTGGGCGATTCATCATGATGGAGTGTCAAAGAATCAGCCCGTAGAGTGCACTTGATCCTTGCGCAGATCAAGGGGGAGCTACACCCTTGCGCGGGTGCTCCAACGAGGACTAGTAGGGAGTGACTACTCTCCGATACCTCGGAAAAACATCGCAGTGTTCCTTTACCTCTCTTTACTTTGAGTATTTACATTTGAGCAATTCATTTCATGTCTTTATATTCCTTGAATTGCCATGCTAGAGTAGGATTAGAACCTAGGGTGCAAAACTTTTGTACGGGAGAACAATAGAAACACATTTTAGACACAAGGGGTGAAATGGACTAAGTGTAGGACTTATTTATTGTAAAAATTTAGAATTAGCCCAATTCACCCTTCTCTTGGGCATCTTGATCCTTTCACGGCGTCCGATTGCCGGCTTGCGGCCCTTCGGCACTCTTGCGGCCCGCATCTTCGACGACCACTATGCTTCCCGCGTCAGACTGCCGGCTACCGGCGCGCAAGCAATACGATAACAGTTCCGAGGCCCGCGCGCATAGGAGGAAACGGTGGCTCTAGAGGCCCGCGTGCGAGCGGGGCAAGCGGAGCGTGGGAGACGGGCACGGCGATGGAGACCCGCCGCGCCGCGTGGGAGGGAGGCGAGGGTGGCTATCGCATGGAGCTACTAATCCGCCGTGGCCTTCCTCTCCACCGGAGCGGCGATCTCCGTGCCGCCGGCGAGCTCTACACCGGTGAACTCCACGCGCCGACGAGCTTTCATTCCGAAACAACAAGGAAATATTGCGCTCAAAGCCCATGTTGCAAGCGTATATTTCAAGAGTTTTAGAAGTATGTAGCAGGTGCTTCATGCGGATGTTGCAATAGTAGATCGAGATATTGCACATATTGCAATAGTTGTACATGTATGTTGCAAGCTTCTATTTCTAATGTTTCATCTGTGTTTTTTCCAGACATATGTTACAAGTGTGTTTATTCGGATGTTGCATATGCTTCACGCATATGTTGCAAGTGTTTTATCTGGATGTTGCGTGTGATTTTACGATGGTTTTCATGTGATTTTCATGTGTTTTTGCGAGTGTTTCAGATGCATGTTTCAAGTTTTTCATTTGTCTTCAGACGTATGTTGCAATTGTTGTATCTGGAGGTTTCGAAAGTAGATCGGGTGTTGCATCTCATTCATCGCTTTCTGTTGTCCACCTTGTTGTCTCCTCCTCCCGGCGCCAGTTGGGCATTCGCCGCCCCTACCCCTCTTTCTCGATGCTGGTGATGTTCGGAGAGGCACAAACCCCACATGGGCGTGTGAAACTGCACGGGAAACGGCTGTAGGTGTGGACGTCCGTACGTCCCGTCTGTCCAGACTTTCGGGCGCTAGCCAACCCCTCTTGAGAACTGCTAGTAAATTATACTCATTTAGATTTGCCGCGCACTTTGCACCCTTGTCAATGGAACTGTAACACAAATATATCTCATAGTTTTGTACCCTAGCACTTAATTTCTGCTCTATCGACCCGTGCACGACGTCGATCGCTCAAGGGCTCAAGGCGCGGGCCTGGAGACGCCAGCGTGGCAGCGTGCACAACACAGCGAGGCGAATGGCCTGGCCGGCGCTAGTCCCGTCTCGCCGTGCGCCGCTCCGCTAGCCATGGAGCTGCCCAAGTCCATGTCCCGCAAGGCCCCATGGATCAGGATAAACCATGGCAGTGATTTATAGTATTGACCACCCCAGCCCGGCCCAGTCCAGCAGTGACCATCTACACTTCTTATAGGAGGAGAAGAAGTAAAACCCTCGCCTAAACCTGCCAATTAGGTTCCGATGATGGCCGCCGGCGCGGTTCCTGTGCCGGTGCGCGGCGGATCCTCCCTCCGCGTCCATCCCTCCTCTTCCTCTGCCAATGCCGCCGCCTCGTCCTCGTCCTCTTCGGCGCGCCCCATCTACCGCGTCTTCTGCAAGGGCATGGTGATCAACGACGACGACGAGGTCGTAGGCCTTGCTGACGAGGACCCCGGCGGCGTGCCGGTGCTGGCGGTGGCCGTATCTGGACCGCAGGGAAAGGTTGTGCTCAGGGGGCACAAGCCCGTGCTGGGGTTCGTGGGCGGGCATGATGACGAATATGGCCAGGTGCTGCTAGGGGCGATGGCGCTCGTGGAGGGCCTCCACACCGCGATCAGACTGGGCATCGCCAGCGTCAAGGCCATCACCGATCACAGGCTACTGCGATTATTGCAGATGCTTGGGCTTTCACGTCCAACAGGGGAGAAGCTTGCAGATATGATCAGTCAGGCTCTATCATATCAGTGCGGAAGCAATTCGAGCAATGTGAAATATCACTCGCTAAGCAAGGCCAAGTCGGCAATGTGGTGAAGCTAGCAAAAGAGGGGCTAGATGTTGAGATCGCCAGATATCTTGCTACCAAGGATATATAAACGAGAAGGTTGCAAGATCTGCTTCGATGACGTTGACACTACAAGAATCCATGCGGTTGAAGGCTGTTCGCACCGTTTTTGCCTCCCCTGCATGAAAAAGCACATGGAAGTTATGCTACTCCGTGGAATGGCCCCACGTTGCCCACAACTTGGCTGTACCACCAAGCTGACCGTGGAGGAGGGTTCAATAGTATTGTTACGGAACCGTCACGGCTTTTGGGGATGATGGCGCAGCGCGTGAAGGAAGAACATATCCATCCAAGGCCTTGATGTCCTTGAGCGAAGTGCAAGCGCTAGCGGGATCATCGTGCTCAGAATACATGGCTCATAATAACGCTGCGACATTGAGAAAGTGCGTCAAGTGTGTGGAAGGTGGCATGGCATGAGAGGATGAGCTGCCTTGAGTACCAGAGGTGCTACCCCCACGGTGGTCCTGAAGGTGAAAGGTTGCAGAAGCTTGAGAGGCAGCGGCAGTGGAAGCAGTGTGAGAGATGCAACCACATGACCGAACTCGCAATGGGTTGCGCATACATAACCTGCGTGTAAGTTACAAGCACAGTGTCTTTTGTACCTGATCTTTTGTGTGTTAGACCCTAAAGCAGGATCTCTAGGCATAGACCTAGCATGTCTACCTACTATTGAATAAAACCGTTAGTCCTAAAACATCTACTAGTGCAATAACAGTAGATAGAACGAGTTGTCGAACCTGACACCGCAAAGGGTCCAGAAGCAGCCATCTCTTTCGTTGGTGAAGTCTGCGCACGGACAGCGAAATTAGCAGGCAGGAGACGAGGAGGGTGTTTCCCACTAACAACATGCTGGGGAGGCATGTGTCGTGAGTTTCCTTGGACTGAATTAATCCAATTATCTCAGCAGCACTGTAGCACGAAGCCGGTTGAGCTTAAAATGGTGGCTCTGCCGGCTCCTCCTTCAAGTTCATTTTTAGTCAAAAAAAAATAAACCATCCCATGCTATAGTGCTCAACAGTACCCCTACAGTGTTTGTAGTTGAACAGGAATTACTTCTTTCAAAATACAATATTGATTTCGCGTTGCTTGCTCTAATAGATTGTATGGATATGGGATGTATGGATACATTGAAATGACACCTGATCTTGAGATAATCAAATTAAAGTTACCGTGTCATATCACTACCGTAGGTGCAGAGAGGCAACTCATTCTGCTACACATACTCCGTAGGAACTGTACATGGGTAAGGTTACATTAGATAGGTGTTGGTATATTTAACGCACACAGATAAATTCGTAATCGCACGGATATTACTGTAGCTTTCACCCGGAAGTATTCCAAGTATCGTATCCACAGGGAAACGTGTGAGATTAACTATGTCTAACTTAACCCGGAGTAGCAACAAGACTGAAGATAACAATAGTATAAAGGAGATCACTAAGGTCTTCTAGTTTTAACTTCGGTAAGCTATGTCTTCTATTGTTCAATCTGGGGATATTACTAAGGGAAACACAGGCAGAGTATGTTTCCTATAATAACTAAATTCTGCTAGGCCTACAAACGGGAGGTGGACTACAAAAGATTCAACGAGGCTATAAGAGTCACCCTTGTGAGCTACCACCAATCCGGAATATAGGGTACATCTACGAGCACCCGAGTCTAAGCACCACGGTTACACTAGAAATACTATTTTAACCCAGGAATGACAAGGATTAAAGTACTCAAAAAGTGTCGCAAACCTGAAGAACAATATAAACACATTACTTATTTGAATTAGAAGTTGATTATCAGAGAAATCTTAGAAGCAAGCTCATGAAGAACTTGATTCTGCCAGGGTACAAGCCGTAGAGAGAGCACCGACAGGCCGGTACTTCCTCCAAACTCTTCACTCACACTCTATCTCTCTATTTCTAATACAAGACTAGATCCCATGGATGACTAATCTTCTCTTGATAGCTGGCTCTGATCCTGATGAGGAGGATATGAATTAGGGTTTCAAGATAGCTCTAGGGAGGGGGTAGGGGCCGCCTTATATAGGGGAGATGGAGTAGAGGGCAAGGCATTGCCACGTCATCGATCCGCGTCAATTCCCTCGATCACCGTTGGATGAACCGATTTAAAAGGACGGCGTAGATGCAATCTAGGAGGTGGTGGAGAACCAACATTCGAATGGGAGACTGACCAGGGGGGCCCATAGTCCGACCGGCCTAGTGGTGGGGCCGGCCAGCCCCACCTGGCAGCCCCTTGGCCTCCGCTTCGGTGGTTTATCTTTTGGAGTCTTCTAGAATCTTCTAGAGTTATTTTCGTTGCGGATAATTACGATTAAATCTGACGTTTAGGTCCATCTTGATGGTGTTCTGGATAAACCCTCCTGCAAACACAGATTCACCAAAACTCATAAAATTTATTAGCTTAAACCCCTAAACCTATGTTTGGTGATGGAATTAAGTATATATACAGGTTATATTGATGGTTTATAATTGATGCTAATGGCTGTCAACAAGCTCTTCCAAGCTTAACCTTTGCTAGTTCCTGAGCAAAGCTAAACTCAGCAATGGATCAAGAGTTGCTACAATGATTTCATGCCTCAAAAGTACATATGCGTTCAATCAAGAATTCTCCTTCGGATTAAAACAAACTGATCTGACTTTCTAACTTACCCATATTACCTTCAACCATGGGGCTTCTTAGCCTTCACTTGGGTCTTGAGCAATTGAAAGACAGAACGATCAAGTCAAGCACTATGTCTCAAGTTCTTTGTTCCACCATTGTTTTGGAGTTTTTATAAGTTTTTAAAATAAAACTCAGAAATTTCATTGTATGACACTCTCAAGTCTCTCAATATATGTAGTATTTGTGGATCTTCACCAAGGCAATAAAAATGTTATGCCTTTTTCTCTTCTTACCACTAAGGCTTATGTGGAGTTCATAGGTAGGGAGAAAGCTAGAACATACTTACAATGCATATATTGTAAAGTCAAACAACAGATCCAAAGAGAGTTGAGTCATATAATCAAATCAAGATGTGCATGTATGCGAATATATGGTGGATATATATGGTGGCTAACCTAATTCTAATTTGCTCCTTAAAAACTTATCTCTCTTTTCAAAACTTGAAAACATCTGCTAGAGAACAGGGGCTATCTTACTCATCATTTTCTCTTTTTTTCAGGCAGGCATCTAAGTACCCATTGTTTTAAATATCTCGGACACTTGTCCATTTTTTTCTCAACTCTTTTTTTTTCATTCTTCTTTTTTTATGAATAACTTTTGTATAGCCCCATGCCTCTTTTCTGCAACAAAACTTTGAGAGAGATATCAACAAGAACTTAGAGCATTTATTTGGTGGATGGAAAACCTATCAAGCATGTTTTTGTGTTCTCTCCCAATGTATGAGTAAAATATTTTTTGGTGGATCTAGATGGAAGGCATGTTTTTGCGCCTACCCCCAGTGTAGGAGTAGTGCATATTTGGGTGGTGTGTACGTAATCTTGATTTTAAGAGCATGATAAATCTCTAATAAGGGTCAACAAAGCTTGACAAAACTCAATATAAAAGCAAACAGCATATATGTGGAAGTTTTTCTAGCCTAAATAACATGTATGGCTCTGGTGGAAATTCAAGTTTTATCATATAGGAACTCATCTTGTAGTATTTTTGTGTTTTCAAAAAGTAAATCTCCAGAATTTTAGTGTCACTTGAAACAAGATAAACAGTAGCATAGACCTTCTCATATCATATCCATCAATTATCTAGATCCAGATCAAGCATATGCCACCCACAAGTTTCAAGTTCAGAGTAAATCCTTATATCAAAACAATTTTATCTAAAACTCGAGAGAATTCAAGGCAAAAAACTAGGTACTTGAAAGGAATTAGAACAGAGCAACTATTCATTATTTCCATTTAAGAGATTATTCTGAGTCCTCTTTATTTTATTCAACTCTTAAAAAAAATTAAAGCAAACTAGACACACCTTTTTATTTTGTTTTTAATTTTACTAGATCACATATTATTACTATAAATGACTAATGCAAAGATAATTTTTTATTTTGTTTTTTATTCATCATTTTTTAACTATTAAAAGAAACTAAATCAAAGGGAAAGAATACTTACCTATATACACGGGGGTGCTGCTCCCCTAAGTTGACTCTTTCGGTGAGGGTTTGGTGTTGTAAGTTCTTCGAACCGGACTTCTCTTTGTGAAGTTCATTGATCACGTACCTCGGTTTGCTCTGACTACGAGGATTCTTGTGATGACACATCTAATGGTGATGTCATATTCTTCCGCCAAACCCGCCTTGGTTTTGAGTTTAGATTTTGGTTTGGTAGGTTCAGAACCTTCACTTGTAAAAATTTGGGGAGTCGACGAACTCATCCCACACTTTGCTTGAAGTGTGTCCTGCTCATTAAGACAAGGTAGAAATCAAGTGCATGGGCTCTGTTGGTGGGAAAACACCAACAGATCCAGAACTTTATTTATTCTTCTCTATCCTTAGGCACATTGAACAAGATGAAGTTGATGTTATGTGCTTTGTTCAATTACAACATGGATAGTAAGATCAGAAGATTGAGCATGAATGTAGCATTTGAAGACATTTGGCCAAAAGGGTTGAATTGCTTAACCCATGGAAGGATCGTCTATCTTTACATAATGTATCGAACTTTATATGATTATGACTATCATCTTTCGGAGATAGGATGTGCACCTTTCAGCTCATTTGGTTAAGACTATAAGATCAAGAAAGTGATGCTAGGAACAAGCTTAAAGAACTAAGCATGTTGAGTTAATCAGATTGGATCAAGCAAGTTATGGCTCAAACATGTTTGTTTTTTACTTATTTGCATACCCAAATCAAGGATTTTTTTTAAATAATGACCATTTACCTTAGGATATTACCTTCGTCACTGAAACATGATGCCACCACATGACGAATAGTAGATGATTTGTGATGGTCCTTCCCTTTTGC